TGAGTTTTGTWGTGATCCATTTTGCCTTGCTGGTTGCAATAGCCCTTGAAGTCAATAGTGCACAGCACGGCTGAGGCACTAAGGTCAACACGGCTGCAAAGGGCATTTACAGGGATGGCAATGGAATCACTGGAAAAAAAAATCTGGTTTAGAACAGCTGGATATGTTGGAATGCAATAGCAGCCAGGTGAGTTGAAGTTTTAGAGACTAGGTCCCCATCTCTGTGTGGGTGCCAGCCCGTATGCCTGACTCCTTAGGCAGCTTTGGAAACACAGCCAGACAGAATTGTTTAAAGCCACTACCTGCCCTCACCAGTTCTTTCGGACAGCACAGGCCCATAGCTCAGTAAGRTTAAAGAAGATTTACAGGACTGACTCTTAAAAGGACACCTCTCTCCATTAAAATAATTGCCTAATTATATGAGGGTGATCAGATGGAGAGAGCAATGCATGGGAGTACGGAGCTGTATATGGACCGGAGAAGAACGTCTTCCCGTGTACAGGGATTTCTGGTCTGAGGAGATGGAAACGGCCCGCGAAGCGATGGGAACACGACCACCACGCTCAGCTTCACTTCTGAGCTCAAATGTTTCTCTCTGAGAACAAACGCCAAACTAACTTTTTCCCTCCCCAAACCTAATTGGGCAACTCTCGGGCCAACATTTTTTTTTTTCCCCCACCTTTTTTTTTTTTTTTTAATGTAAAATGTTGCCTTATATTCCAGGCAAGATAGTGTGTTCCCATAGCAACCTCCCCTTGTGTCTTGAACTTGTCAGCATTGACGGAGGACGTTTAAAGCCACCACGGGCTCAGCCCGGTCCAGAGCCAAACCGAGGGCCGGAAGGAAAGAGAGGTGGTGGAGGCTCGTCTGGAATCTTCCAAACCCGCCTGGATGCGACAGGGTGYCCCGTGCTCCAGGTGTCCCTGCCGGAGCAGGGGGTTGGACTGGATGATCCCTAGAGGTCCCTYTTCCAACCCTATCCGTGCTGTGAGGCTGTGAGCGGGGCTGGGCGATGGAGCAGGGCGGCCTCCGCGCACGCTGCTTCCCAGCGGGCAGGAACGCGCCCCGTCTCCCTCAACCGCCCTGGACCAAACGGATGGRTCCTTCACCCAACATCTAACCCAAAGGCTGCACTTTCTCCCCAGGGTCGTTCATCTGCTCTGATTTTCTGCTCCTTACTCCTCTTTTTGGGCTGCCTCCCAGACTTCTCCCTGCTTGCAGCTGCTTCTCAAGCCAGGTCACATTCAGCAGTCGGCCTTGCTGTGGGCAGCAATGGTCACTGATGTTTCCTCCCTTTAACCCAGCGAATGAGGAACCCTGTGCAGGTTAAGCACAGTTTAATGCAACTGATGATGTTTTTACAAAATCTTTGAGAAATAACAAGAAAGAAGAAATAACAAGAAAGAAAGAAGAGACCTCGTCAGACGTGATGGCATCACTGTGAGCAATAGCATGGCCAGGCACCAGTGTAAAACTTGCTCTTGCCCTGGTAGGGTGCTAGATGTGCATTTCCTGTCGTCCTTCTCCTGTAGCATGCTTTGCCTGCTGAATTGAGCTTTAAAAAAACTACATTTGCAGGTGTGGGCGGCTTGCCAGAAATGTGACTAATAAAAAAATTGCCTATTGATCTCTTTTTAAAGCCTATCTTAACATGGCATTTTGGAAGAAGGTAATCAATTCTCACTGATTGCAGCATTTATGTAGACACTTTCCTAAAGGATAGCTCCATTTGTTCCAAACAAAAGAGTGGGAGAGAGCAACGCTGCTCTCTGCTTTTGGCTGTCTATTTGGATTGATCTTTTACATGATTACACGGGAGAGAATTGGTCTGCCTGGAAGGATTTGCCGTGGCCCTTAAACTCTTACACCAAGGGTCTATCTCCACACTAAAACTGAAAGAAGTTAACTGCTTGATTTGTGACTGTGCGTGGCTTGGAGGAAGGGAATCCCTTCAGGAATGATCCTGCATGTTGAGAAAATGGGCATGTTGATTTTTTCTTCTGTATTTAGTGAAAATGCCAATGAATTGCAGCGATGTTTAGTTATTAGGAGCTTTACTCAAGCACCCCGGGCCATTTATTGCTGCTTGCAGGACGTCTCTGCACCAYGAGCTGAGCCACTTGCCTGTGCGTAGGGCCTCCAGCAGCATTCCCGGCTCTCCTGTGGCAGCTGTAGCTCTGYCATCCTCATCCGAGGTGACTGTTTCAGGATGGGGAACTAACTGTTCCCCATTGGACCTGGGAAGAGAGGTGATACTGAACTGGACATCGGTGATTTGTCATCTAGGGCTCAACGTGGACGCTCCACTCCAAAAGCAGAGCACGTACTGCTCGTGCYGAAGGGGTAGCAGTGCAACATAAAGCAGGTGTGACACTATCCAGACAAGTATCTGGCCGTATATTAGCGTATCCAGGCGTATATTTACATTCCTCTTTATCAGGGGAGATGAGAAGTAGATGTTCTTTGAATTTCTCCTGGGCTTTCTCAAGAACTAAACTGGTACAGTGTGTTCTTGGGCCAGTGCTGGGATCCAGCTGAGATATCGCCGGGGGAAAATCATTTGATACGTTTATTTTGCTAATGAGGAAATGAGTCAATTCATATAAAACTCTCTTTTTGGAAAAAAATGAAGTCCTTCTATCACCTCGCAGATACTGATTGTTAGATAATTTGTGTTTTGTCTCCAAACCGACCAAACGTTTCATACAAATAATACCGACCTTTTTGTTTTCTGTGTTCCTTAAATGCCATTTTAGCCATGCAAATGGGCTTTTCTTCCTTTCAAAGTGCAATTGATTCTCTCGAAATTCTAGGTATGTAAATAAATAATTGCTCTTTTTTGCAATTTCTCTACATCCTGTGCTCACCATRGCATAATCCAGTAAGCATCCCCCCAAATCCTCTTTGGAGGACTGGGAAGGTTCTGTTCTCTGGTCAAGGAGGGAATTACTGGCATTCAATATTCCCTTTTTTGCCCCGATTTGTACTGAATGTCGCCTGTTCTAGAACCTTGTCCTTACACGAACTCTGTTAAGTCATCTTCCCCTACTTCAACCCATCTATTTTTTTCCCTTTATGCTGTTTCTGCACATGAATCCCCAACTAAATAAAACCTTAGGAGCCCCGTTTCCGCGTGCAGAAGCCAGTCGTTCGGCAAAGGACCCGCRTGTCCAGGCACTCGGCTGTTACCCGGTGTCCGCGCCGGGGCCGCGCGGCAGCTCCGGGCAGCGACGCGGCGGCTCCCAGCCAGGCTTCCATGGAGGTGCCGGCGGAGCCGCGGCCCTCGGAGCTACAGCGGGACAACGCRGTCACCACGGGACAAGGTCCCGGAGCCGCCCGCGCCCGGCCTCCCTCTCCCAGCCTCCCCGGACTCCGGTTACCTGCCCTCGGATGAAGCTCCTCGCCCYGTTCTGTTCATAGCAAATCAGCTGAAGCACCGATAAACCGCGGGCTCAGAGAGCAGAGCCGGGCTGCACGCAGCAATGAGTCAGGTTACCTTTACTTAAACAGAGGAGATTTTGCATCGTGATTCTGAAACGCAGAATTCCTCCCTTGTTTGGGCCAATACAATGGAAAAATAACAGATGAAAGTAACAATACTTAAAGGGAATTATTATGYAACAGTAATTCCTTTTTCATCAAGTGTCAGGTTCACGCTCTTCGTTTTATTTGTGGTTGCCTTGGGACTCCATTACTTGACTGGATTTTAGAGGGTACTATAATTAAATACTAAGAATCTGAAAGCCTTAAGAGAGCATAAGAGCCCTAATTCAGGAATGTGTTTCCATGTGTCCTTACTTTTAATCCTCTGCATAGTTACCTTACTAAGCACATGTTGCTTTTTTCTTTTGAAAAGCTGTCAAAGTTTAAGTAAATCTTTTTAGGTTTTGGCTTGCGATTTATGGGAACTACTGGAAAACAGAAGATTCCTGGAGCAGTGTGTGTGTGTCATTATATTTCACTGGGAACATTATGTTGTTTTTTCAAGCTATTCCAATTACCACCTTTTGCAAAGACAGTTGACCATTTTTGTGGAACTCACAGAAACTGGAGATGGAATAAGAGTTAAGTCTGGGCTGCACAGTTGAAATTATTGTACATTTAAAATGGAATAAATTAGCAAACAGCTAATGAATCTCCAAAGTATATGGAAAAGATGGGTAAAATAAGTAAATCCTACTTACTTGCAGTGCTTACAGGGAGTATAATACCATTAGGAAAGGAAAACGTAAAACATGTGACAGCAGCAGATGCCAGACTAACCACGGTGCCGCAGCTCTCACGAGAAACCCMCTTCTGAAGGTGCACATGGCCTTGGCCAACACATTCTTTTTGAACTGATATTTTTCAGTCCTAGTTTTAAGCCAAAGGTAAATTCTTCTGTACTTGGAAGTTTTCAGCAAACTCAATTCAATAATGTTTTTGATTGTGTCTCCGCAGCGTCCCTGTTGCGGTACCACCGCAGTAYGGGTGACACCACAGCTGAACAGGCTGCTGCTGTCAGCTTGGTCTGGGGTGGGGACGATGGTCAGGTGAAGCTAATTCAGTGGCCTAAATTGTGAAAAATGAATTTTTGCTCTTTAAATCCGCTCCTAAGTGCAAAATKTAGTAGATTTACAAGGGCAGCAGACACGTAGACCTGGTGAACACTGGAACCTTCCTCATGCAAGTGAGGTACAGTCTTAACTTGCTTGACCTTTGCTGGGTTTAAAGTATCTAACTTGCTTGGAGGCTTTTCATATCTTGCTAATTGCTTCTTTTGTTATGTAAATACCTTTGAGTATGTAATCCTGACCAGCTGGTATGAATTTTTGGAGCTGCTGGCACTTGTTGGAGCTACCCGGCAGCCTCCTGAGCAAGAGAGGGTGTGCTGGCTTTTTCTGTTTCTGGTCCTAACCTTTTTCAGAGCAATTTGCAATTATTGTAATGGTTTGTTGTATCTTTATCATCTCCCCTGTGTGATAGCTGTGATGAGCATTAGTGTTCCAGTAAGGAGAGATGTGGARCAAGGACTTTGAAGTGGCCCAGACACCAGTGCGAGGCACCAATGGGGCACCAATTGAAGAAGTTCTTCTTCAAGGGCTGTTTGAAGATGATTTTCAGCAGGTAAAGAATGAGCTCTTCTTTAACACAGTAATATGGAGATTCATAGTTTTTGAGTACTAGAATCAGACTCTTCAAGTTCTGCAGGAACAAAGGCTATATTTCAGTTTGGCTTGGCTTTGGAGGCTTTTATAAGAGACGAAGAACCCTTTAATCCAAAGAAATAAATGCTGCGTTTCAGCTTGCTGAATACGGAAAGACAAATTTACTGTTGCTTTTTGTTTGTTTAGTTTGGGGGATCTTTATTTTTTTAAGCACTTGTCTGTTAAAGGCTGTAATTGGCTCTGGACAAGGCCTTTTACTTGTGTTTCCCAGTCATGGATGTCTGCACTTATCTCATTCTTGGCACCCTCCCATTGCAAAGTAAGACGTGGCAGTAAAGTATTGTGAGGCGGTGCCAGAGAGCAGACGGCTGTAGGAAAAAAAAGCGTTTCTTATATGTTATGCTGAACTCTTAAGCTTCTGAGGAATTAGGCTAACACGTTTTCCCCCTAACATTAAAGGGAGGAGGTAGTTCGCACCCCAGGAACAGGCTGCCYGGTGGTGACTCGGAGTCCAACAAGCAGGACTCGGTGCTGTGCCTCCCTGCCTGTCCCCTCTGCAGAACGTCTTGGCAGTAGCCAAGGGAAGCAGAGAAATGTCTGGTTTTGCCTCCAGAGGCTCTGGTCTGCCCAGCTCTGAACCYGCGTGGGGCTGCTGCGCGCGCGGTCGGCACCCTGTCCGAATCTCTGTGCAATAAGTGAGGGGGGCTCTTTTCTGAGGGGGGAAATCYGGCTTTATAAAGTAGAAGTGCAAATGAAAGGGGGGTACAGGAGGAGGAGAAGCTGCAGATTTTTCAATGAGTGGTAAGTGGGGATCAGCCTTGCTTAACAGCAGGGKTTTGCGGGTAAAGAATCCTCTAGTACTCCCTGGTGGGGTGGCTTAAAGACATTTAATTAATAAACTTGAAAGTGACTCTTTTCTAATGTAGCTGTTATAGCTGAAAATAACGGAGTGCAGTTACAGAAAGAGAAAGCCAAGGGAGGAACTCTTCAAGTCAAAGCCTATGTGTTGATTCATGAACCCACAGGTATTAATCTGTGGGAACYGGCTTTTGGTGATAGGCAGGGCTAAAGCATATTGTGCTAAAGTATTAGATCTGGGTTGGAATGGGAGAAAGGGGTGGAAAATGTGCAGCTGGCGAAAGGAAATTGCTTTTGTGCACTAGCACGTGGTCGTGCGGTCTAACCAACACCAGAGCTGGGTGTGATGCTGCACAAGTGGAAAGTGGGACCATYTACTGAGAATTAAATCGGGAGATGATGAGAGAATAGTATTTTTAATCATAGTTCATCTGAGGCATATGTTCATTGTCTCAAGAGAGATTTTGAGATTTTGTCTGTATTTGAACTGGAACAAGAAAACAGTTTTTCTCAAGCTTTGGATTTGACTTGCATCCAAAGCAGATTTGGATGGGCGCCCCACCTGAATTGTTAAGGACTTGGAAGAAATGTTTTAGTCTTGGCCTATTTCTGGCTTAAATACATTCTTCTGTTATGGAGCAGCAGCATTAAAAAGAAAAGAACTCTTGCAACAGATAGGAGAAGTTGTAGTCTCAAGAGATAAGACGTGATCTTGAACGTCCTCTAAGCTGATCTACCTTTGGTAGGCAGATTAATCAAGCGTGACTGTCTGGTAGGTTTATTTAAGCTTGCAGTGCTACGTGGTGTTGAGAAAACCCTGTCATCGACAAGGGGAAAGTTGAAAATGAGCATGGCCTTTGCCTGCTTTACCTGACAAAACGCGGCAGTGCCCCTGCTGTGCACCATGGTTCTCCCTGCGGTGATGTTTCCTGTCCCTGTGCTTTCCTGAAATCCCAATTTCCTGTAATTAGGAAGCTTCTTCTCTTCCCTATCTCTCTTGTAAAAGTAGTTTCTTACCAGGTAAGCTGGAGCGTTGCAGGCATGGGGAGGGGTATTTGGTGAACTGGCCGCCGTTGGCCTCGGTACCTGWTTTTATATCAATTATGACTCACCTTCCAATTATGCAGGCCAGCGTGTGTTAGCAGGTCTCTGCTTCATGGCTAAATGCTACGTGGAGAGAGGGGATCAAGTGAAATTCAAGATTATCYGAAGTAATTAGGACAGAAAATTATTTAGTTTGCCTTGCTGGAAATAGTCCGACTTACTGCTGAAATGATGCCAGGCTTAGTTCAGTTCTCTGTGTAGTTCCAGGCAGAAGAAAACCTTTTGCAGCAGATTGTAATCTTTAATAAGGTTGCATTATGCAACAGTGTGTAAACTCTGATGAGCAAAGATTGGAACAGAACTCCTCGAAATGATATGGATTTGAAATGCAAAACGGACAAGTTTACAATTAAATTTTGKAATTACAAATGATCTGTTGGACAGTAGGGTCTGGTACTAAAGAGCAGTGCCTAAGATGATTTCAGGGAAGAAAAGTAGACGTATCCCATACCATTGAGTTTACTCGTGCTGACTTATTCATGTCTATGGTTTGTATTGTGATTCATAAATATTTCTAATAGCATCATAGGCCACATTCATCCTTGTCATATTGACTTGCTTGGACAAGCGAAAATGGCCCCTGTTAAGCTTTGTTAGACAGTCTCAATTTGGCCGGGCTGTGTAGGATGTGCTTGGAATGTAGCAATTTGTACACTAAGGAAAAAGGATCGTTTGCTCAAATTAAGTTATGAAATTTGGCAGCATTTCTTAGCACCAAATGCACACTAAGTTGGAGCTCGAACAAAACCATTAGTTTTAATTAAAAAAAAATCACTTTGCATTTCTCAGAGGTGCTGGAGAACAGAAATCAGAAATGATCTGTAGAAGTCTATCCTAAAAAGCAAAAGTTCCACTCTTAATTTACAGGGTCTCCACTGTAATTATTTCTGGATCTCCGTCATGAGTAGAACAGCATAAATTACGGGATACTCCTCTCCCAGATGTGCACGCAGCAATTTGTCCTATTTAGGAATCTGCCTGTCTGGACATCTGACAAGCAGCTCTGTTCTTGGCCCTGTGAGGTGCAACTGGGCCTAACTGAGCAGGGATCGCTGACCTTGAGGACTGAAATTCTGAACCCGCCACCTTGTYGGCATTAGGGTTTATGCTGCGCTYGAGTCGATGATAAAGTAATAAAAACCCTGAGGAGAGATGACTCGAATAGGAGAAGACCTCCCTGTGCTGCTCTGATAGTCCGTAGCAGATAAGCTTGTGTGTGGTGTGCAGGTGACCGTGCCTTTGCCTGGCACGTTTCCTGATGGCAGCTGGGACTGCAGTGCTTTCCGCCGGGATGAGGGGCCGTATCCAAGGTGCTCCCAACCTCCTCTTTTCCCARCCTCCTCTTTAGTTGTCTTCGGATTCAAAGCAACGTCTCAAATGCCACGTCGCATCTGTGGTCTCCCGTGGCTGAGGCAGGTAGCTGCAGTGAATATAACGGCTAACCCAGCTCTACGGTTTCAGTGGAATGAGAGGGAGTCAGATATTTAAGCAGCTTTTAAAACCAGGTCATGTTTAAGTGCTTAAATAGGGATTTGAAGAGCCTAACTTCCATGTCTCCATGCCTGGTTTTAGTCCAGCTGGGGTTGGAGGGTTGTGCCGGATTGTCCTGTTCCACTAATGCATTTGTGGCTGGAGCTGTTTTCATACATACTGTTGCTTCCACCATGACTGCAAATGCATCTTCTTCATTGCTCAGCCAGTTTATGATTTAAGAGTCTAAAACTCAGGAAAGGAGGATGGAACAGTGAAGGCTTCTGCTCTCTTTGCAGTTACCCTTTTTAAAATTTTTATTATTACTCTTATTTTCTTCTGTTGCCCTGAGATTTACAGGCGGTTTCTCATCCCAATTCCTTCTCTTTTGATCCTCCTCCAAAAACAACAAAAAGTTAATAAAACGCTGTGTCTGTTTTCTTTTGCAGTCCAATTTCAAGAACTAAATCTAACCCTAAGAATCTCAAACCGAGGTTCCACCACCTCTAGCACTACCCATCTTACAGTACATGCTGAGGCTGCATCTTGAGATATTTGCCCAAGCTTCAGCGATTTGGAAGTTATTGCTGCTGTTACGGACAAACGTTGCATATCCCAAGGTTGACATCTGCTCTGTGTAGATGACTTGGCCTGCCCAGAATGTGCTCAAGCACATGAGGTGACGTCCTTGGTTTTGCTGTACCCAAGGGAGTTTGCTTATAAACTGCAAGGACTTGTGAAACTGGATTAGGCAAAATGGAAGTTGGCCATGGGGTCCATAGGAGAACAGGTGACTCGCAGGGGTTTTTTAATCTGGAAACAGCAYTTTAGGAATCAGTATTTTTAGGACAGAGACATTGGAGTACATCCCTGCCTCATGCTAATGCAAATAGGCAGCAGCTCTGCTGTGGCTGGTGCAATTGTTGCATGAGCATAAAAAGCCTGAGGGCCCATTTTACGATCTAAAGTCTATTTAGAAAGTCTGGGAAGTTCTAGGGTAGACTTCTATCTTGTGGTATGGATGCCACAAGTCGTTATAGGCTCCTGCTCAGGCAGGAAGCAACCCGCTGCTTGCAGCATCATGTTGATTTTGCAGATATTTTGCAGTGCGAGACTCAATCAGAAGGAAAAGACTAAATGCAAGTGGCTTCCATTCTCCTTGCAGGTAAATCCATGTCAAGAATCCATGATGGTGTTTCCAAACATCATGGAAAGCTGTGGAGATTTCAAAATGAGCATGCAGCAATTATTGCTGGCTGGTGCCCTTTCAAGCCAAGAGACTTTCTTCCTAATTAGGATCCTGCCTCTTGGGCTGAAGATAATTAGCAATTTTAAGTGAATATGAAGAGGAAGATGAGAATGGTCTTTTGTAGCTAAATTGCTTTAATTGCTAGAGCTCTTGGAAGATCGCTGCAAATGGTGGTAAGATTTTGTAGAGCATTCAGTAAGTCATTTTTCAGCTCAACTTCTTTTTGGCAGCTCGTTCACCATGTGTGTATTCTTTTAAGTGCAAGCCATGCGAGGTCTTGGTAGAGCTTCTGAAGGGCTGTCACACTGATTTGTGACATTAAATGGATTGCTGACCTCACTGCACAACACTTGCATAGCGTGGGATGGGCCAGAGGCATTTCCTTACTCTCCAAAGGTATGAATATTGACCTTGGACCTGATTTTTGGAAGTGCAGAACACTGAAATCTCGTGGATATTAATGGAAAAAGTGTGGAAGAAAATCTTCTCTCCCTGCTGAAGGCCCTCTCTGCTCGAGTAGTGTGGAAGGGGTCAGGAAGGGGATGTGAGGAGAAGGTAGCCCCTTAGCTCCGCAGTGCCCCTGCGTTAGGGGGAAGATTTCTGTTTAGGTGGCCCCATGACACCGTTCCCCCGCTTTCCTGCTACAGAGGTAGTTCTTAGCTGTGCTCAGTCCTGTTTGACCAGTGACGATGCTGCTCTCAGACCTACCTGGGCATGGACACAGYTACAATGTGAACCAGGAGCACCTCTTCTGAATTCTCATCCCATTTCACCTGCTTTCTGTGGGTGTCCCTTTATGGCAGCAGGTCCTTTCAGACCCTTTRCTGTATTTTGTACGTTTTGAAGTCTGGATCAGTTGACAGTATTTTAATCTTGGAATGGTGAAGAACTGTCTGACAGGTTTCAGTGGTGTGCCAAGATGTGGGCCACCACCTGTGGTCACCAATGTCCAGCTTAATTAGACTTTCCCTGTATTTATATGTCTGGGTTTTGAAAAAACAAAATGTTCTTGCAATAGGACTGCAGCGCTGCAGCATGTTTTTTTCCCACTGCCCTCTTAACCTGTGGTCCAAGCTTGCATTTCTCAGTATATCTAAATGAGGTATGGAATAGTATATAGGCTTTCCATTTGCCTTTAAATCCTCCTGAGAAACCCTAAGAGGCTAACAAGGCAAGATTTAAAAAACGGCCCGAGGCTGACTATATAAAACACAAACTGCTTTGGCATAAGGCAGCTCAGCAAAAGCAATACCCGGCGGGAAGGGGGTGATCATTCATCTCAGATTGAGGATGGGAATTAGGGAGAGCCTTCCTGAGAAGCTTTCACATCGAGAGGGTAAGACATAAATGTGGTTATGTCGGTATAAAARGCCAATGTATACATAAGGCACCTGTAAATTACACGTGTTAGAATTATGATGCCGGAGTTTAATATACCTGCTGGTGTGTGTAAATGCGTATATATAAAAATATATATATCCATGCACAGAGTATAGTGAGCAGTTGGCATTGTAAAGAGTAGGGCATATACCATAAACTATCCCAGTGACCTGAATCATCTTCTGTTGTGATGCGTTTTTCCTCTTACCACCTCCTGCGTCTCCACAATTAAAAAGACCATGGATTTCAAATGCTCCAATAAGCAATTAGAAGCAATTAGAAGTTGCTTTCAGAGTAAGTTGGCTTGGCGCTGCACGGGGAGCAGGAGCACCAAGCGCTTTGGGTGACAACTCAGTTCCTGGAAGTCCTGCTCTAACTGGACTAATTAGGCGTGGTTCTAGACGGGTTCTTTCAGCTGCGGCTCCGGCCTCGCTCCGTGCCCAAACGCCCCATGCCGGTGCCCGGCCCAGCCTCCCGCCGGCCCTCCCTGTTGGGGCTGCTCAGTCGGCCCCTGGGTTTCTCGAGATGTGGTCGGAGCTTCCATCCGAGTCTCCTGCTTGCCCTGTGTGGGATGCACACGCAGCCTCCCGTCATGATATTTTGTGTAGTTATTAACGAGCTGGAGAAACCACTTTTGGTTGTAGGTGTTTCAGTTTTCGTAGTGAGGCTGAACGGAGAAGCTGGTTATGAGATCATAGAAAGGCTTCAGAAAGACTCTTATTWAATAAAACCTGTCCTATTGCTGAGTGTTGTGAGGACTTCCATGCTGGCTTGCGGGTGGGCTCTGCAGGCTTCAGGCACCCGCTGCTGTGGGTTCAGACCCAGCCTTGAAATGGGGCAGAAGATGCCTCGGGCCTTGGGGGAATGCAGAGAACATCGTGGAGTGCAAACAGGGCCTGGACAGTGTTTTCTGCCAAGCCACAGCCTACGTGGAGATGGGAGATGAGTRAAATAAACAACGTGGGAGAGATGTAACGTGATCTGTGTGTGTGTGTATAGAAGTGTACATAAAGAGCCGTGCGTGCCGTGGCCGCAGTGTTTTCTCAGGCGGCCGCCTGGCCCAGCTGCAGGATTTGTACCCGTGAGCGCTCCTTAACGCGCCCCACGTGGTGGGAAGGAGGCTGCCTGGGAAAGGAGGCTCCAGGCGCAGGGTTGGCCGGGTCCGGAGCAGGAGGAGAGTTCGGGGAGGCGGCAAAGGGCCCTGCCCCGAGCTGGGCGCGAAACGCAGCGAGAACAAGCCGGAATGTTTTAATAACACCCAACATTTGAAGATTTTTATCTGCAGGCTCTTTTAATTGGAGTAGCCCTGTCACCATGGGTGCTAAACCTGAGCTCAGCCTCATGGTGACACAGATACCCAAGGACTCCTTTTAAACACAGTTGCTGACAGCCTCTGTGAACTGTAAGCATGACTTTGAAAAGCCCAGATGATCCCTGACGTGTRCGGGGAGGTTTGTGCCGTAAACCCAAGCATTCAGAGAATGAGATTTGGTTAAAAACCCTCAGCTTTAACGTCTAATTTCTAATCATGTTTTGGTTTATGTCTGCCTTCTTCTTTGAGCTTCTAAGACTGCATTAAAGTTCAAACATCTCTCTGCAACCGCAGCAGCTCGAGCTGTTTTGCTCTAAATGCACGGAGAGAATCTTAGGGAGTTACATTCCTGCCAGAGGAGGCTTTAAAAGAAACCCCTGCCGATATCATAATAGCAGTGCTAAAATCATGAAATGAGGGCTTTCCTCAAAGAGTGAACTGCCTGAGAACTTCATAGAGGTGGAAAAAAAGACTTCATTGGGATAGAAGAGACGGAAGGATAAGCCACTTATTTTGTAGTCTGTCATTTTTCATCAACCATTGTGTTCTGCGACTTGGAATTATAATTTCCAAGTCTCACATTCAAATCAAAACTTAGCCTTGGATTGAGACTAAATAAATAGCCAGAATCTTTGTGATGACTTTGCAAGAGGTATGATTCGTAATGCCAAAGAGTAACAGTGACGTGAAACTCAGTGCTGTTGCAAAACTACACACGTAGAGAGGAAAGGCTGGTGAGTAACAGTGAGTAATAAAACTAAGTGAGGTTTATTCTTGGACCTTTTGAGTGGGACAGGGATGACCATGTCTCTCTCCTTCCTTTTAGAGCAGTTGGGAAATGCTGTAGAAGGCAGAAGGATTCAAGGGAGGAGATACTGAGATACAGAGGTGTGTAACATCATGGAGGTAAAGGGGTAAGCGCTGTTCAGTATCTCTTCCATGGCAAGGATTAGGACACATCAAGGAAAACTTGCAGGAGGTTCAGATGAATGGAAGGAAGCCGATGGGGAGCACAATAATGCCAAGAAACTCCTTGCTACTGTTGATGCTGAAGTGGTGCATGAGTTAAAAAAGTATCCAGACATCACCTCTGGTCCCCGAAATCYCAAATTTGTGCTTTTGTGGAAATAGGAAGCACATTCAGGAAAAATWCTGCTACCTGCTTGACCTGGTCTTATGTAGATTCTTAAAACRCTGCTATCGGACACCTTTGGAAACAGGATACTGAGCTTTTATCTCATCTGTCTTTGGCCTGGTTAGCACAGGCCTATCACTGCACTCGCTATCTAATATGAAAAACGTAGCTTATTTCTCCAAAGTCCCATCATCTCACTGCACTGTTGCTGCTAGAAGTGACTTGGAGCTTTATTGTTAATGCAGTTCTTAGAAGCTGTCCAGTATTACAGTGTCTAAATGCCCAGTCACACTCCAGGTCTTGCCCTTTCTCAGATTTTTTATTGTATTACTTCTCCCTTCTTTGCTTATTTGGCAGCAAAACTTTTCAGACATCAGAGAAAATGCTTTCTTTTTAGAACTTAACAGTTGCTTTAGCAGAATGGGGCTTGTGTTTGTTGTGATATTTTTAAGATATTTTCTTGGCATAATCTCTCATTTGCAAGAAGTAGAAAAGACATAAAAAAGCCTAAGATGGGAAATTAAATTTGGTTTAATTTCTTGGCAATGTGCAGAATCATTTCCCAGGTCTCTCTTGTTAATGGTGCAAGTTTTTAGCTTATTCCCAAGCTATCAATGTTCTTAGGTCTTTCTATCACAAAAAGAATCTGTTTCTCAAGATCTGTGTCACTGGGATAGGCCAAGAAGTGACCACGGGGGCAGCTCCAGCTCATGCTTCTATTGCTGCTCTGATAACGGAGGTCCAAAGACCGCTTGCTAATGGAAAGCTTTGCGTGTCCATAAAACCTCATCAAAGCCAACTGCGGAGAAAGTTTCTTGGTTGAACCCTAACCAATGTCTACATGCAGCGTTGTGCCCAGAGACCTCGATTTGGCAGGTCAAGTCTGAGCATCTAGGGTTGTTATGTCTTCCTCACCAATATGTCTAAATAATAGCTCATAATTAACTCTGGCAATCATTCTCATCCAAGCAAAACTCATCATTTGGTAATTCTCTGGGGCTTTTGCCAGCTGCACTCCGAGGAGCGTGTGGGCTCTGTGCTGCGGGCTCGGGAGCAGCCAGGAAGGATTCCTGCCGTTGGTGCCCAGCGGGTGCGATGCCCGTCCTGGCTGGGAGCCGTCCAGGCAGGGAGCCGCTGCGGTGCTGGGGGCTCAAGGAGCTGCCCCTCGCCTGGGCCCTCCGCTCCTCTGGCTGCTGCAACGTCTCAGCTGGAACAAATGAATAACTGAATATTTGCTGTCTTCTCAACAGTCCAACCACTTCTATTTAACCCCAAAGCTGGGAATGGGAACCATTCTGCAGCAGAAATATGAAGTACTGTGTTGAGGGGAAATTGCCTGAGAAGACGCTACATGTTTCCTATGGTGGCTGGGAGTCGCTCTGTGTTCCCATCTGGTCTGCATTTTCCCAGGCCTGCTCTGCAAAATAACCCATGACTGAGGCAGACCAGTTGCACTTACCTCTACAAGGGTGGATTTGTGGGGAGCGAGGAAAAACCCTACAGTGTCTCAGGGTTTCTGTTGCCCTCCCAGAAACTGCCTTTACTGGAAAATGCTGGACCCAAGCTCTGATCTTGGATGAAAAACCCAATGTTCTTTGGCTGCTTGAAAAGGATTTGTGATCCCCATGGAATCTGAATGTCACTGAACAGAACCCTTGGAAGAGGCCAATTTTCTCTTAATTTATGTAAACAGGAAACTRCATCCAGCCATTCCGCTGCTCCCGAGCTGCCCTCTGGAACACCAGTCCTTTCCGTGAGGAGCAGTGAAGTCCATCAGTGAGCAGGGCCCGCTCGGCCTTTCTGCTCCCTCGGCCTGCGTGCCCGGCTCTCCTGCCTGGCTTTGCATGATTTTATCTTTGCATTTGAAAATTATGGACATCTGTAAAAACAAAGTGTAATACATGGTAGTGGTCTGCTACTGTATTCATTTGAATTAATGTCCCTTAAAGTGCAAGGGCTGCAGATTTCAAGCATCACAAGACAGTAGAGCTATGTGCATAAAGACAAAACAAATATTTTTACAAAGGCCGATTTATAACCGGCTCCAGGTTCATTTAATTTTGATGGAGYGTTGCACCTGCAAGGAGAGGAGAGGTGGTGGTACGAGCTTAGATACGCGTCTGAATTTCCAGAACGTACAACCTTATTTTCGTTGCCTCTCTCCCAACAGGAATCCGTCGCCTTCGCATTCCTGCTGCTTCTCCTCTTCCTTGAGGAAACACAGCTGTGGAGCGGGCGCGCGCGGCGCTCGGCGGATGCGGCCGCGTAGTTACCGCGTGGCAGCAGTAGGCGCCTTATCATTATCAGGCCACATCTGTTTCCCACTAGATGTTTTTCTCTGTTGCTGAAAATGGCCAAAGCCAAAGGCCCAGATGTAGGTACGTGAAAGTTAAGAGTAGCCGCTTGTGCAGTAATCCCAGTTTGAAGCCAAAGGTTTTTGCCTTGAAATATGTTGATGCGTCTTGAATAACCCTTCAGGATTGTTCATTTGACCTACCAAGAAATTTAATTACCATTAACTAAAATGATGAAGTTACTGGCAGTGAGCTGGACAACAGAAAGCTTCTGTGAGTTGGTCTTGTTTGGTGGTGAAGTCAGCGTAGTTTGCTGTAATCTTCATCTTCTGGGAAGGATTAAGTTATGACAAACAAATGCCTGTTCCCGAGGAGCATATTCCCCAGGGCTTAGTGAGCTTTAATTTCTGTGCGTCAACGTTGGGGCACCAGCTGATGCATTTACTTCTTCCACTCATGCTCTGAGCTTCGGGCTCTGCAGCCTCCTYATCTGCTGGGAAACCTGCTCAGCTCCAACTTTCCGAACCACTCCAAGCACCTGAAACAACTCGCACTAAAACTTCGCCCCTTCAAATATTTGGAGCTCTCCTCTCATGCTTGGTGCCCACAACCTTGCTTTTAAGGCAGCTGCAGCAATAGTGGTGGTGGGTAAACGGTGTGGTGGAGTTGTCCAGAACCATTGGGTCGCTCAGCCCAGATGTGGCAGTTGTGTCAGCACCACTTCAGGACAGAATTTACTTTTCACAGAATCACAGAATGGTTGAGGTTGGAAGGGACCTCYAGAGATCATCTAGTGCAACCCCCCTGCTCCAGCAGGGACACCAGAGCAYGGGGCACAGGGCGGCATCCAGGTGGGTTTGGAAGACCTCCAGAGAAGGAGAYTTCACAACCACCTTYGGAAGACCTTTGGAAGCCTGTTCAGGGCTCTGTCACCCTCACAGGAAAGACTTTTCTTCTTATTAATCTTGTGTACAACAGATGAGTAGAAAATGCCCAGATAATGTTTTTTTCAGAAAGGCTAAGGATGGGATCCCATCACCTCCCACCTCTCTGCCCCCGTGATCACGAGCGCGGGGACACGGACACTCTGCCCACCTGCTCCTTCAGGGAGTGCCAAGCTCATCGCCAGGAGAGGGTAAGAATCTAATCTCTGATCTGTGAAGCTGTCCAAGGAGACTTATTTTGTCTTGTTAATGTGAATATTGACCATTCCTTACCCAGGGTCTTTCTCACTATCTCCAAGTGAGCAAATAAGCCACAGAACACGATAATGCCCCGAGCAGATGTGTCTTAGAGGGGAAACTGTGACAATGCGGAATATTGACCTGAAGCTGGAGTTACAGGGCAGATGCATACCATGAGCTGGAGTATGTGATATACATATGGTATCCCCTATGTGGTTTCAATTTATATGGTAATTTTCTCCTTCTAAAACTTTTCCTCCTCTCCCTTTGCTTTCCATGACTATCTTTGAAAGTTCCTGGAAAAGGGCAGACAAACCCTTCTCTTTGGAGCCAACAGCAATAKCACTTTTTCAGTCTTCTGGCAGTCTGCTGGCACTTTGGATTTCGATTTCCTTTACCTACTAGATATATTTATATATATTTAGATATTAAAATAACACCAAATGTATTCTGTTTCTGTTCATCTTTCAAACAATGTGCAGCTGTTGAGCTGTGCATGAGTTTTCACTTGCTGCAGGTCATTCTTTGCTGGATGGAAGGAGAAATGCCTCAAACAAAGGACACCATGCAGAGACTGGGTTTCTCTCCCTCTCCTTTGGAAATAAGAAATTGCAGGTGTACATGTGGTCAAGAGAACATTTGGAATGAAATTCTTGGCGTTGCATGGTCATTTTTTGTCAGCTTATATTTCCTGTGATCTAAATCCCCCATTAAAAAAATAACAACCTTGGTGGCAGTTGATAGCAAACCATGTGTGATGTTTCAGCTGAAACTCCCTTCTCTTCCTTTTTGTTAAAGGCTTTTCTCATTCCCTTCTGCCTTTCCCATCTCCTCTCTCCTTGTCTTTTCTCCCCTGCTGTTCTGGGACATGGGTGATCACCCTCCTTCCAGCTCGGGGCAAGGAGAGGGCTTCTCTTGAGCAGTTCTCAGCTGCAAGGCTGCTGAGGCTCCAGGGAAAGCGTCTTCTTGGTGTCAGGCTGGTACAGAGTGTGCAGGGGACAGGGATGGATCTGCAGTTCACAGGGTCTCTTTGCCTTTTGCTCCTCTCTTTGCCTCTGTCCTTCCTCAGGAGGAGGGCTGGGGTGCGTGAGGCGCGAGCAGCTCCGAGCGTGTTCCCTATGCGCCACATACCCGCGAGAGCTCTGCGTCTGGAATCTGGAGTCCTCACGTTACTCCCCCAGCACGTGAGTCATGGTTCTTGGATGCGAATAAGAGCCTGGAGCTGTGCGGGTGACGTGGTGGAGGAAGTGCAGCTGTCCGTCCGTTACACTGCTTAGAAGTTTTTGGCCAACTCTCCCTCTGAAGAGAGCATCTCTTCCCACAGCAAAGCCCGGATCTGTAGAGAAGTTTAATACACAGAGATGGTGCTGGGAGGCAAACTGTGAGCAGGGGCTTCGTGCTTGTCCTGTGGCCCTGTTGGTGATCCTTGGGAAACTCAGAGAGACTCTAAACGTTACAGATGTGTGTGGATTTGCACAGCTCACGGCGCTGCTGCGATGCCCCATGTCCTCCCCTGCGGCGCTGTTGCTGAACGGGCTGCTCTGCAGCTCCCTGGCACGTGCCAGCTACAGAGATGCACTAGGTTTCGGGAAAACATCCCTCCTGGAATACACGGGAGATAACACACCAGATGACTGTTATGAGCGAGATCTGAGACATCTTATTTAACTTAATAACAAACCAAGTGGAGAAACTTTGCAGCAGAGGCTGCCAATCCTCCGRAACCACAGCCTGGCTATTTGGCTGCCAATAAAACTACATATTTTCATATTTACTAATGGAGGACAAATGAACTCTCCATGGTGAGTAATACAGATAGCAGCAGCTCCAGTTCCTCTTCATTCATCAGCTCATTGCTTTCCCCAAGCAAAGGTCAGAATATGTTTGGTTTGCTTGTCTCCATCGCAGGATTTGTGTTGGTGATTCACTCGAGGRGCTGACCACGTCCCGCCAGAAGGACTGAGCTGGTTCTGGAGCCTGTACACGTCTCTCCTGGCCTTGCCAGAGGAAAGTCCAAGTGGGAAAGTAGTGAGTCAGGCCATGGGAAGCTTCCTCCAACATAGCCTGGGACTGCCCTTACCTTGGGCATGTTCTTTCASACGGCAAGGAAGAAGGCTGCTGATGAAGGACTGTTCTGAGATTTAGGGAATTTGGCCACCTTCAGGAGAGAGGTTTATCTTCTAAGGGGACCTGTGATTGCCTTGAAGTGGGTCCAGCAGGTCACATTCAGATACCTTTAAGATTTTTTAAGGGATAGGGCTTGTAATCCAGGTGTTGCCATGTCCTTTTAACTGCAGACAGGATCCCACATTCCTTGTTTGAGGAAAATGGGAATTTCACACGCACAATAGCTTCTTGTAATGACTGATCTTTATATGCATTCCTCCAGGATTCAGTTACATTAAGTTTATTTTAATGAGTATGGTCTTGAACTTCTCACAGTAGGATTCAATGAAGAGACTGGAAATTCTGGAAAAGATTAGAGTTGGGTGAATAATTCATAAAGAGTAATTTGTTTTATGAATGTCACCCTTTTCTATTTGGGGATTGCCTAGGAATAAAACATGGCTTGCCTGTATTTAGTTGTTGATTAAAATTATTCACCAAATAATTTGTCAGCAATCCTTACTTGGGAGCTCACTCATGAGTGACTTGTTGCAAGCAGTTGATGCTCAGGAATTGAGCTACCACACGGGGTGCAGAAATTCCAGCCTTAATGCCGCTCATTTCCCAAAGTTCTCCGTGTTTTCCTGGCGATGGATTCATGGATACGAGGCATTAGTGGGATGGGAGCGAGGCCATGTTGTAGTTTGGTGTAAGCTGTTTGTGGGGCTGCTGTGCAGCCTGAAAATAAATAATAATACTGCATGTTCAATATTTATTCTCCTTCCTGCACTCAAGCGCAGTTGGAATTTCGAAGAGGCTCCATGTGGCACTGGCTCGTTTACTTTGCAGAACTCTCTCTGCCTTTCTTTTCACTTATATAAGTGTCTAGTATTGCTCTTAGGTACAGATTGYAATATGTAGGTTTTGATAAAGTAAATGTATATCTAATTCTCTACAGAAGATTCTTGTTTAATGATAGATGAGGTGAATATAACCTATTGTGGTTTAGGCATTATATTTCCTTAAATGAAGTATGCAGGAGAGGTATCATGCTGTCTAAAATGCATGAAAAGAAGAAAAAGAGGAATATTCCTGTAATTTTCTTGCAGAGTTGCTTACATTTGGATCAAAGGGAGGAGGAAGAGGAAATTCCAGTACCCCAAGTGTGTTATTAATGAGTAGAAGCTCCCTCAAAAGGCCTAGAAATGATCTGTATTGCTGAACTAAAAAGATGCAGAAGAGATCAATGGAGAGCAAATGGCAATTCAGTCACTTTCTGTTTTCCGTCTAGTGACATGAGGTCTGATACCCGTAGGTGTGTCCTGCTTCATGGCACATCCTGCTCTAATAACCATGTGTAGAACAAGGTCTTCGTTGCAGCTCTGCATCTCCTGATCCATTAAGGACGATGACTTCTGGTTTAGGCATTCCCAGCAAGAATTAGCAGCGTGATTAATCCTTTCCTTGTTAAGAAGAGTTGCAGGCTTAGCAGGAATGCTGAGTGATGGAGAAGTGAGTAGAGCAGAAGGTGGCAGATGGGCAAATCCCTTTCAAGGTCTCTTTATCCAAATGTCTTCCACAGGAATATTTTTTTTTTCACTATTGTAATACAATTTTAAATAACCTTACTAGGATGCAAGGTCTGTCATAATTTTTCTTTCAGTAAAACTCATCAGTAACGAGTGTTTGTGCATATGTATTTGCACTGCAAAGTTGCYCTGCAGTACTGATACTCTAATGACTTTTTTTCTCTTCAGATTCACAGGAGCCTCCTAATATCAGACCCTGGATGTTGTTTTAGGAGTTTATACACAGGCCAGATATTCTTTGTGTGCATGCTAAGCTGAGGACAGATGAGCTCCAGGTCTGAGAAGCAAATTTATTTACTTTTCTTATACAAATATTTAATTAATTTCAGATCTTTTTGATGAGATGTAGATCAGAGTCCCTGCATGCTAACCGTAGCCGTCTATAAAATTTGTGCAAGCACTGAACAGAAATTACAAATGCCCAAAAAGGGATTTAAAAGCAAATGCTTCTTTCTGCAGTTCTCCCCTCTATGAATCACCAGTAAAATAGAAAACCCCTCTGTTTGCAGAAATCTGTCTCTTGTGGTAAGTGTCCTGATTGCTGTAGGGTGGCACACGAGGCTTGGAGAAGGAGGGACCCCCAGACCCCTCTTGCTGCCCGAGTTTGGCCCTTCTGGGGTTTTGCTGTGACGGCCCTGCGGCAGCTCTGGGCTGAGCTCTGGGCTGAGCTCTGGGCTGAGCCCTGCTGAGCACTCTGCAATGAGACCTGAGGAGAGTTTTCAAGGTGTGATTTAGCTTCCCCCGGGAGACAGAAGCAATGAAAAATTAGGGTGCGGAAGTTGGAAAAGTGCTTGTTTCTTAATTGATTCCTTCCCAGGAGCTTGAAAAGGAAGGAAATTCAAACAGCTGCTGAAAGGAGAGTTCTGTTATCTACTTCTGTAACCCTTATTTTCCAAGGTTTGGCAAACGTTTATACATCTCTCTGCTAAGCTGTATTTTTGGCACCAAAATATTGGTTGTGGTTTGCATAACCATGTGATTCCCTTCAGTAGCTGCTTGCAAGAGAACTGAGGTTATTTCTGTTTTTTTTTTGAATGCAATTAATTTTACACGTTCTAACTTTCCCTATTCCTTATGGAAAATTTTTCTTGAAATGTGGAAAATAGCAAAATTTTTGTTCACTCTGGAGGAATGTAAGACAGGACTTGGGGGAGGGAGTCTAATTTCGGAAAGAAAAAAGGAAAGTTTTGCAATTCCTAAGAGACAGAACTAAAATACTTTTTCTTTTCCACCAAAAAACCCTATAAAACTC